GCTGAYTTCATGTGATCTGCAGTGGAATTATTTCCCCTTTTGTGATAGAAACCTCTGGATACATTTCTTCTCCTCTGTGTGAACATAAACACCAGCACTGGAGATGCCGATTAAGTGACGTGGTGGTAAAACCCTGCTTCTGCAGAAGTTGCTGACTTTGGTGAGCCTGGGGTTTGGCCTTCGCTGCATCTGAAGGTCTGCACACCTCTCRACAGACCTTTCAGGGGTTAAAATGCAAATCTTGTTCTGTTCCAAGAATTTGTTACTCTGAGACAATGCTTCTGCATTTTTGTCCCCCCTTTTTTTTTCCTTTTTTTTTTTTTTTTCTGGACAAGTAGTTATGTGGCATGAGGCTTGTTATAGTTGGAAACATCCCTAAGTAAACAGCTGAGCTTAAAAATGCTCTTTTTTTTTGTCTGGCCTTTAAAAAAATCGGTAGTTACTGCACAAAAGAAGACTATGCYGATGCCAATCACTGCGTCCTGGCTGAAAACAGGAAGCTGCCCCCAGTGTCTGTCCCCAGCACTTTGATGACCCTGCTCGGACATTCAAAGCCGGACATTCAAAGCCTCGTTTGAGGATGTGTCCTGTGCTATGAATTGGATCTCTTTATCTTTTTTTTTTTTTTTTTTTTTTTTTTCTTTAAGTGGAAGGCTGCCTCTCACAGATAAGTGTATGTCCTGCATGCTTGCTGGCCTCTATCAGACTTCATTCATTTTGCTGATGATTTTCCAGCTCCTCTTCGAACAGGTAACAGTGATGAGAAGTTACCCGCTCCTCCAGACCTGCTCTGGTAGGTGATTCCCAGTGCTCCCCAGTGCTCACTAAATCATCTGTGTTATCTCAGGCATCCTTTCATTGCTGAACCCCAGAGGAGGGGTCTGTATTTCAGTACAAAAAGTGCCTCCTGCACTGTGCTTGGGCAGCTCGGGGAGCAAGGAGAGATGGAGTTGGCATGATTTTCTGCTGCAACACACAAGAGGCCCAAGATTATTCTGGGTCTTAAAGCATGACTTCAAGAGTTAGCAAACCAGGTCTTGCTGATCTGTTTCCTCAAGTCACACCTCTCCAGGTTGATGCTGCCACAAAGCCTCCTCCAGGGATTCCCAGATGTCACAGAAATCTTCACTGAACTGGAGACTGACTTTTTCCAAAACAAGGGCAAGACAGGAACTTTGGTTTGGCCCAAATGTTTTTATGCTTTCAGTAAGAGCTTTCTAGGGGAAAAGGAGSTTGGGCTGCCTGAATGAAAATGTGTTCCCCGAGTTCAGCTCAGCATCTTCCAGCATCTGTTGCTAATTCCCCAGAGATGCTCTCTCCTGCTGCCAGGTGCTGTGCCTGCAGACATTTTGCTGTTCTAGATTTAAGCTGTATTTCCAGGCAACTGCTTTTTAATTTTTTGAAGGGTTTTTTTTTTTTTTTCTTCTTGAGGACAAGTCAGATTTCCTTTCTGTTTTCCCTTTCTGCGTATCTCCTTCAAATCAGATTCACCTTTGAAGTGAGAAGTCCATGGTGTTGATGAACACAGTCTGTGGTACAGGTCATGAGTGACCAACACATCGCTGTGACCACCACCAGGTCCTGGGAGCCTCTAGACTTTAGTGGAGACAAAAATTAGTTCATGTTGACAAAGYCATGGATGCATTTAATGTCACAGCAGTTAAGAAGAGAACAGAAAAAGCATTTTGCATCATTAGAGGAATAAAGAATTAGCTACTTATTCCTAGAAATACACCACTCCTGACACTGTCCTCACTGGCTCTGAGCCTGTGGGACTCTATGAATTGAACTGAGCTGTGTTCACACCACCAAGGAAAGGGAAGAAGCCTGTTAGTTTTCATTTTGTGAGAGCAGCTGTAGGAAGAAACAGTGTGGTTGTCCTTTGCTTTGCTCATGGAAACGTAAAGCCCAACATGCAACCTCCCAATCATCCAAGACCACCAGGAGAATCTGGAGTCAGAGCTGGTGCCCAGCACCTGTGGAGGGAAGAGCCTCTGCTGATTTTTGGCAGTGATGCACCACATTTGGCTGTCAAAGGTTGGTGCCCTCATCAATGTCTGGAAAGGATTTAACAGCATTCCCCTCTTTGCCATCACTCAGAACTGGGGAGCTCACAGGCAGGAAAACTCTTCTCCTCTTCTCACCGTCAGTGCCCTCAACGCACAGCACTGCATTCTGTGCGATGAGTCAATAGTGAGACTCACAGATCCTCCTTAAAAGTAAACCAGGGTTGTAAATCCCCTTTCTCTCATCATTTTTTGAAGCACACAGAGGCCAGTGGGTACCTCATCTCTCATCTTTTGTGCACAGCGTTGTCCCATGGACATGGGATGCAACAGCTCTCCGGAGTCAGCGCAGCTCCAGGGCTCACCACAGTGCAGTTCAGCAGGACTTGGTTAATCATTTGKGCAGCCCCCATTTAATTCAGACATCTCAGGCTCTCCGCTCGGTTCCTCCCTCGGGTTTTGCAGACTCTGAGCAGACAGATTTATTGGGGTCTTAGGCATAATCAGGAACAAATTAGCCTCTGTTAGGATCACACACTGGCCTGGATCACAGCTATTCAAAGGCTGCTTTCCTCTCCATGTGAGTACGTATTAAGTCATCGGGTTGGAGTAGGCCTTGAGTATTCTTTTATCCCAAACACACGATCTTATCAGAAGCCCATTACATTTATCATCGTATTAGGAGGGAACATTTGGAGCCAGTGCAGGAGTACGTTACTCTATAAATGTTGTGCTTACTTCAGTGCCTGCCGTGAAAAAGAAGGCAGTGGTTTTGGAAGGCTGGGAAACACTGTCTAAATGTCTAAAATTAGGCTGTGAGTTTGTGGGGATGTGTTTGCATCAGGGGGTGGCTGTGATGTGCAAAGAGAATGTCCATACRTTTGTGTGTCAGTGTTGGTGACAGTGTGGGTGTGCAGCAGGGCGGTGATGTTTCACTGTACGTGTACATATCTGACTGTGCATGTGTTTATAGGCTGCAGGTCACATCTTTTTAATATGGTAGATATTTTAATTTCTTTTTTTTTTCTCCCCCTTTTTACAGAAATAAACCTCTTTTCATTAAATAACTAACTTTTTTTTTCCCAAAAACACATATTTTCATCTGCTTGGCATTTTTTTTGAGGATTTGTGATTGATGACCACAGATCTTTACAGGGCTGAATATTTCTCAGAGATTTCTTTTGGGGCTCTCACTCAAATTGGTACATAGTGGGAAAGCCACTTAATTTTATCCTACTGTCCTGAGACCTGGCCCATGCCTTGGTATGGAAGAGGAGCAGAACAAGAGATGAAGAACAATAAAGTGAGGGAACCAAGAGTTTGTCTCTGTGGCCATCACAGTGTCATTCTCATTCCACCAGTCCCTCGAGCTGGTCAGACACGGGGCATAGCTCTCCCAGGGATGAATGGGCCCCATGGGGATAGCACTGCTGGGCTGCCTTAGGGCCCATCAGCACATCCACCCGGACACCCCAGGAGCCATTGTCATCTCTTGTCTGGGAAACGCTCCCCCAAGCCTTCCTCCGAGCGCTTTGAGGGGTGGGGTGTATGTTKGGTGGCTCCCAGACAAATTAAGATTTTAAAATGTGACATGTAAGGGCAAGAAGGTTGGCCACCCTGGGAATATTCATTCAGGRCTGCACTYAYACAGCTGAGATGTTTCCAGRTTTGTGCTCCTTTTCACCAGCTCAYAGCCCAGCAAATACACAGCTCCCTGTGCTTATCCATGTACACAAGTTGTCCACAGAGGTTGTGATGAAATCAAACCATAATGACATTTTTCCCTGATATACTTCTCCATTTTTTTGAAGCCACACTCTCTTAAAGACCTGAATTTTGCACAGGAGGAAAAGGAGTGAAAGTCATTAAATAATTGAATAGCAATAAACTGATTTTTCCTGGCCCGTGACAGTATTTCACTGTGTAAACCAGGAGGAAAAATAAACAGGGGATTTAGTAGCTTGGAAGTAGCTCAAAATTGAGCAGCCATTGGATTTTCTGACACCTAACTCATGATAGTCCAATGCTACCGACAGGATTCTCCTCAGGGATCCTTTCCATCAGTCCAGCTAGCAGCTCTGGCTAATTTCCTACCRTTTTTTCAACAGGCTTATTTGCCAGACAAAAATACAACAGGCTGTCAGAACTGGATACCTCTGGGGACTGGCAATGATAATACAATACAAAATAGGATACCAACAGGTCAAAGGTTTCCATTTCACAGAGTACTCTAATGACTGAAAGTCATTATTGCTATGCAGTCAGTTTGAAAAGAGTAGATGGATCTCAGTTCAGTTTTTAATGGGCCAGTGTTACAGAAACAACCTCAAAAATTTGGCATCTTTGTTGGCAGTCTCATTAGAGAAGCCACAGAATAAATGGGCAAGGATAATAAAGTCTCCTGCTGCTTTTGATCCTTTCAGGTCAAATCTGAGTCATGTTGGTTGAAGCCGTGTGTGTATGTGGCAAACCCACCCTCACACTGCGTGTACTGTATCTGCCTTGGATAAACAGGTCTGTTTGGCCCTTTGGTCACTACAGCTGTGAACTTGGCACTTTTCACCTCTCTACAGCCACAGTTGCCGTTGTTGCTGTTGATTTGCAGATTATCTTTTAAAAACAAAAAGGGAAACATTTTAGACCAAACCCACCGCTGGCGTTTTTCCACCCCAGCTGGTGGAATTATGCCAACACCCACATTTGCCTCTCTACGTATTTTCTATCAGTGCTTTCTTCTATCTCCTTTTAAAAGGAGAGAGATGAAAATAAGCAGAAACCCCCTAACATTAGGAAATATCTTCAGGGAATTGCCCAATACAAAAGTTGGCTATTGTTGCTTGACTTTTTTCATGTCACCTTGGTATGACCCAGAAGTGACCAATGCTTCCAGCTCCCAGTGACCTGACACAGCAGATAAATGACCACTGATGGTATCAAGTCCCAGGAACTACCCAGCAGACACGTGTGATTTCTCTTCTCTGTTTCCCCTGGCAGATGAACCCAGCAGGTGCTATTTCCACGATGGTGATGGCGTCTGTGAGGAATTTGAGCAAATGACCAGCATCAAAGATTGTGGSGTTTACACTCCCCAAGGCTTCCTGGATCAGTGGGCTTCCAACGTCTCTGTCTCACACCACAGTGACCAGCAGTGCCCRGGGTGGGTGGTCATCGGTCAGCCAGCAGCAACCCAGGTAAGGACAGCACGATCCTTTTTCTCTCCTGGAAATCCAGCAAGGAGCAATGTTCTCGGATGGAGATCACTGGCCATCATTCAGGGCTGCTGTCACCCCTGCCTGMTTGCTTGCTGCTTCACCAAGGAAGGCTCCTGGCAGCAGTTTCTCCTTTTCTAAGCCTGATTGGCAGCACTGAGTTGAAATTCAGTCCCAGTCACCCAACTCGAACCGGCTGAAGTTGTGGCTGGATTGATTCAATGAGCTGCRCAGGAGTCACCTCTCCCAACCATCATCACCTCAAAGACAGACGGGCTCTTCACAGCAAGCACAGGGGACGAGCTTGTGGCAATGAGTTCTGAAGGCTAATGCCGAATAATACAAAAGGGTGTTCTTTCTTTTTTAATAGTTTTGTGTTTTCTGCCTCCCAGTTCCATAAAAGTGCCCTATTGTTCTGTTCTGAGAAAGGTCCTGTCCATTCCCAAAGCCATTCATTAGCTTTAACCCCCTTCTCCCATGTCTCCTTTGTAACATAAATAGCTCCAGTTACCATAACTTTACCTTTTGTCTCTTTGAGAGAATTAGATCCAAATGAGTTCAAAAAAACATTAGATAAATGCCTGGAAAACAGAGCTGCACACGATGCAGATGCAACAGCTCAGATGCAACCTGATTTGGGAAAGCTCACACTGCCTGTTGATGATTTTTAGAGGGAAAAGATCTTCACATGTAAGATCTGCTTTGTATTTTCCTCCTTCAGCCCCCGCTGCTGTCCCTTACTAGAGATAAGAGTACTTGTCACACTAATCAACTTTGGCTGACTTCTGGTTGGATGCAGAAAAGTTTTTCTAAGAATCTAATTATCCAGGAGGTGTCTTGAGTGGGCAGTGCAGAGAGGAGTGCCGTGACACAGATATGACAAGAAGATCTCTCTGTGAATTGTAAATGTTAAGCGTTTCCAGTTGGCTCGCAAGAGAAAACATCTTTATGCAAGAGACTTGGCCTTGCTCGCATTGCACAAGTCTGTAACAAATTAATGACCAGGTCAGTTCTAAATGCACAAAGCGTGGTCAGCTGGCAGAGTATCAACACAGAATCCTGAGCCCAGTATTGACTTTTTGTCATGGTCTCATTCACTATTTCACGCTGTAAAAGGAACTTTCCTCTGGACCCTTTCTTGTTCCTTCACAGCTTCTTTCTCATCCCGGCTCCCCACGCAGACCAAAGGCCAGTGTGTCCAGTTCAGGTGCTGCTTTTTGGGCATGTCCCCAGGCACTCTGTGCCCCTGCAGCTGCCCCAGAGAGCTGCCCTGATTTTCCCTGGAGCTCTGGTAGGATCTCAGCCACACCGCACGGTCGGTAACATATGGTCCTGTGGTGGAAAAGCCACCACCATGCACACACACAACAGAAAGCCCTGCTGCGTAGCCACAACCCAGGCATGTTTGTTGTACCCAGATGAGATGAAGTTGTCACAGCCTTGTCCAAAAAAAAAAAAGAAAAAAAAAAAGAAAAAAACAACAACAACAACAAAAAAAAAAAGTTGTATTTATAGGCAGAGCAGTAGCATATCACATACTGGCAGAGTGAATGGGAACATGCCTCCTGTTATTGCCTGGCCCCTGGGGAGATAACAGTGTGCTATTTACTGCCAGCAAAAAGAATTTCTGCTTTAGCTCAGCTGGTCCTATTACAGCAGTTTGAGTGCATGGGGTTCACTGACCTTTTTAATCATATAGATGTTGGGAAAGTCTTTGTTTTCCCCAGGAACAGGGCGGTTGGCTTGGGAAAGCACCTGACTTGTCACTCTGGAGAGGTTAGGTGGGGCAGCAGGTCATCAGTCTGTTAGCTGGTGGAGATGAAAATTAACCCAAGAACTCCTCTAATCACTGCATGTAATGATCACTGGTGTGTAAACATGTTTGGCTTCATTATCTGCACAAGCGCTGAGCCTTAGGGGTTTTCTGTATTGATGAAAGGAGCACCTTCCCTCACCCAGATACCTTTCAGAGTCGGCTGTGTGCTTGTTGGTCTTGTGCAAACTTTTGGTGTTGTTGCTGGGTCGCTTCCTGATTAATCAGGGTGGTATTTGTGTTGGCTTCCCATCAGGAATGCCGTGAAAGATATGTTTGAGTGCAGTGCCCAGCAATATACAGAATACATAAGCTGCCTGTTTGTCAGCCATCATTGCCCCAGCGTTCTCAAGGTGCTTTCAAACATTTTAAGCATGTCCCAGCTTAAAATGCTTCTCATCCTTAGCTATCTCAACACCAGGTTCTCTGCATGACTGTCATAGTTTTGTCAAGGCTTTTTCTCAGGAGTTTTCATCTCAGGCTGGTTGGTTGCTGTGGTATCTCTCAGCAGTATCTGCCCATGTGCTCCTGTTTACTGCTGGGGGATTGTTGATAAGCACAAGCTGGAGAGCACTTTCCTGTTATTGCAGGGTTGCTCCTGTGACCCCTTTGCTCAGTTCACTGAAGGCATTGCCCATGTCTGCAGCTGGCTTTTCCTCAGATATCCACACTTAATAATTAGTTCTAGATGTCTCTTTTGCATCACTTGTTAGCATGAGGCTGCCTAGTGGCAACATAGTAAGGGAGATAAAAAAGAAAGTTTGTAGTATAAGATTTGTTTTGAACAATAAAATGCTTACAAAGAATGACACAGTCTTGGCAAAGAGATACAGATTTGAAAAATGGAAAGGTCAAACAGCCCCCCCTTTAAACAATCACCCTTTCTGCAGGAGCAAGACTGAGAGACAGCCACTTCTACTTTCCTGGCAGCCACCCTTCGGTGCTGATTAAGAAATATTCTCAGTAATGACAGCATCATATTCAGAGCCAAAGAGGGCCAGTCAGCAGCATTGCACCAGCACAGAAATATAAACATCAGTGCAGCGTAGTTTTGCAGTTTGATTTCTGTCTGGTGTCTTCCACAGACCTGGAAGCAGATGCTACTCAGTACCTGTTGTCAGCTGCAGGAGGAATTCAGCAATAAGGGCTTTGCACACTCTTGAGCTGGTTTTTTTTTCCCCCTCCTGCATCTGCTGTGAGTTTGCAAACAGCCTTTCCTCGCACGTCAATTTTGTTTTGCCACAGTTTACGCTGGGTGGGTGCATTAACCTCTTCTGATGGAGTAAGCTGTACTGAGCAGGAGGATTTGGATATTTTGCTAAGGTGTGTGTGCAGGTGTGCTCTGGAGGAAGCCTCTGGCAGGCCTGTTCCAGGAGGGATGCTCAGCTGGGGCAGAGCAGGGGCAGGTGAGTGCAGGCTGGTCACAGGGCACTGGAGATGCCATTTCCCCTTCCCTCTTGCTGGTGGCACTCCTGCTTTTGGAAAACTGATTCATCTGCAGTTTCCCTCTGGGCTTTTACAACAGAAAATTATAGGAAAGGACTAATAGACCTTTAGGTGGCTGATTCCTGACCTTGTTAGTCCTGTCACAGCAATGAACACTCTAGACTTGGCTGTTGGTGTGGGTTGGTGCTTTGGAGGGCCAGTCCCCCAGGAACTGGCTTTGGTTGCATTTCCTATAAGCTGTGCAGGAATTGTTTAGACCAAGTAACCTTATATATATATATATATATATATATGTTTAAAAGTAATTTTTTGTCTCCCTGTGCCATTGTTTGAGCTTGGTTTTCCACTGTATGGAAAAAGCCACACAGCTCAGGCACAGTTAACAGGACGGGGACTCTTTCCCAAGGCTGCTGGGCACAGACAGATCCTGGGATTCGTTTTCATTCCCGGACTAAAGAGCACACCCTGTTCTCTCAGGGTACCCCACAGGGGCTTTTGTGGAGTAAGAAGTTGTGGAAGAGGATTCTTATTACATTTTTCCCACAAACAGAGGCCCCCTCCTGCCCCTATTACAGTTCCCACAATTGCACTCATCCAGACTTGCTGCAGCAAACCTTCCACCAGCAGCAAGGATGTCTAGAATTGCAGCATGTCTGCAACAGCCCAAAAAAGGAGAAGACAGGAGCACAAAAATATCCTGAATACTAAAAAAAAGAAAAACCCAACATGGTAGAGCAAGGGCTCCAAGAGTGGTAAGAAAATATTGTATGAAAATTGAAGAGAAAGATGATGAAGTTCTCTGCCATGCAGTTTTATTCTGTCTAATAAATATAATGCTGAAGATAATTCCCCAAAGGTCCAGCAGAGCCAGCAAAGAGAGTAATCTTGAGCAGGAGTGGAAAGAGAGGAAACCTGCAACTTTTAATGGAGAAGCCATTCCTTTCCTTTGGGGTGATCTTGCTGAGAGGAGGGAGGGTGTCTGTCTGTCGGCTCTGCAAGTGGCCCTTTTTGAACTTCCCAGTTCACAGCCAAGTCCTGTTGCTCTCCAACGGTAAGAGTTTTGTTGTGGTTGGAGGGATAAAAAAATCCCCATTTTTAATAAGATGATTTGCTTTGCAAATGTCTTTGTTATTTATAGCTGAGCCAGACTTTGAACCACTTTTCTCTGGAGGATGAGGGCAGAATCCCACTAAGAAAAACCATTAATGGAGGAACCATGAGTGATCAGAGACCAGTTCTGGAAAAAGATGAACTGGACACGGTGCACAGGCTGTCACAGGAGGAATGTAGGTTTGCTGTGGCTGAGCTCATTTCCAGTACTGGCTGATCCACCAAAGGGCTTCAGCTTAGGTTACAGAGTCTCCAAGTCTAAAGTTAGTTCCAGGGGTCCAAAACTTTGTCTTCATTTCCCCTGGAAACTACAGACCAGCCAATTTGGTCTCTTGCCTGAAGGCTGGAGAGTTGCGTCACCAGCCTGGCCCTGATGTCAGGCAAATTCAGGCTGGAGTTCTCCTGCCTTGGATTAAGTGATAATATTTTTCCTTTTTTTTTTTTTTTTTTTTTTTTTTTTAGTTTTTTATTTTTTTTTTTTTTTTTTTTTTTTTTTTTTTTTTCCTTTTTTTTTTTTTTTTTTTTTTTTTTTTTTTTTTAAATGTACACTGATTAATTAAGCCTTATCACAACCACACTGCTTGATTTCTGTTCCATTTAATAGAGGTGGAAA